CCTCATATAGCATCACCTGCACATGCGGGGGGCTGTGTGACAATGTTCGGCCAATCCGGTCCTTCAACATCTAACACCGTGGCTCCGTCACCGATGCGAGATGAGGTTCAAGGATCACCGTCTCAAGAAGACCCAAGTCATTTTGATAATATTGTGAATAACGAATTGTCGGTGTACGATGTGTATGCGGATACAGATGATGAGGATGATAATGGGGAGGAGTATGATAGGCTTGATGACATGGATCTTGAAGATGGGCAGATGGAAATTGATGAGCCCTTGGTTAGAACTGCAGTACCCTGGTTTAGTCAGATAAATGAGAATTATGAAGTTGATGAGTATTGGGCCAATTCAGGGAGTCATACATCATTTGTTCCAGGGGGAGAATTCGAGAAGGGGATGTACTTTGACAGTAAGAAAACGCTTCAAGAAATGGTGAAGATGTATTCTATACAGAGAAATCAATTCTACACCACAGTGACCTCAAATGAGAGTGTCCTTCATCTGCGTTGCAAGAAGAAATGTGGATGGTCTCTAAGGGGTAGCAGGACAAGTGAGCACTCGCGTGGCTTCACCATAGTCACATACAAAGGCCCGCATCGGGAGAACTGTGTTACCGAATTACTATCTAATGATCACCCACACTTGGATTCGTCCATAATATCTGAGTTTATGAAGTCCTTTGTGCAGAAAGATCCGACTCTAAAAGTTTAATTCATTCAGGAACTCATCTCCAAGCGATGGTTGATGCACTTTCAGATGCCTTAGCAGCCGTACCCACCAGAGCCCAGGTTGAGCGGGTGCGAGATATGGGCATACATAGCTTGCAGAGATATGGCCATGGCCATCTCGTCCACCCCAGGGACGATCATGACCCCAACTCCTTCCATTCACAGTTCGACTTCGGACAGAGTAGTGGTGGAGGTCATACTTCGGGCTCTACACAGGCAGAGGATTACTTCATCCATAACACCGCTCCCGGCCACAGCCAGGGTGACTCATCGTCTCGCCAGCTGACTCCTCCATCGTCCCGAGACCCATTCACCACCATTCAGCATTACACGAGGCGTCCGAGGCGTGTTCGTAGACGGACGGAGGACACACAGGATGGAGATCAGTTAACTCCAATACATGAGTCCGGATAGTATAATTTAACAATGTTGTATATAACGCTTACATTATTAATACAAGAAATGTTTTCTAAATGACTCTCTGTACAATTTGAAGTTTATTTCCCTTATTTGTCCGAATTTTGACTTTTGTTAGTGAAACTATATCTTTTATATCCGTTATATGTATCAAGCAGCATATATCTGGTCTCCTGCACTTAAAGTGCTGTTTCACGATGGTTATCATGCTATTGGGGTTGTTTCCAGTGTTTGATGGTTGTCGGTGGTGGTCGATGGTGGTGGAAAGGTTGGGGCTGGTGGTGGGAATGCTCTTGCGTTGTTTAGGGTGTTTTATGGTAGTTTATGGGTGGTTGAGAGTGGCGGGCGGTGGTGGTGGGGGAGGTGGTTAATGGTGGTGGGGGTGGTGGTTAATGATGGGGGTGGTGGGAATGTCCTTGCGTTGTTTAGGGTGTTTTGCATTGCATAGGGGTGGTCGAGAGTGGCGGCCGGTGGTGGTGGGGAAGGTGGTTGATGGTGGTGGATGGTGGTGGGGGTGGTGGTTCATGGTGGGGCTGAGATGATGCTGCTGGGTGAGGGTTATGTGTAGGGGCAGCAGCAGATTGCAGAAACTGCTGGTGATGTAGTGTAGCAGATGCTGCTTGTAATGCAGTCTAGCAGAAAAACGCAGCCTGAGGCAGCGTTTTATGCTTCAACATAAAACGCTGCTTCAGGCAGCGTTTTAAAGCCCATATACATATTCCAGTATATTTTGGCAAAATATACTAGTATATTTTGCCAAAATACATACCAACTGGTCAACAAGGTAAAACGCTGTCTGAGACAGCGTTTTACTTCTTGAATTTTTTTTTTAAAAAAAACTGGGTGTAAAACGCTGTCCGAGACAGCGTTTCACCCCAGAAGCTTAGTTTGGGAAATACTTTTCCCACGAGACCAATTTGGTAAATAATTTACCAATAAAGCTCAATTTGGGAAAAAATCCTTTTTATGCTCCCTTTTTTTTTCTAGGGGTCTGTCACTCTAACACTCGATGAAAAAATCGATAAGTGATTAAGCGGTTTTTATATTTCTCTTTCGTGTTGTACAAATCTTTGTTACGCTTGTTTTACACGATTTGAATTTGAATCGGTGTCAAAGATTTAGTTTTAATAGTCATATCTGGACAGTAATCTATGTATCTATCCGAAACAAATATGTGTCGATTTGACATTTATTGCTTTTTTCGCTCTCTTTTGATCATATAGTTGGGCATTTCCCCCCTATTTGCACACACTCCTTTTATGCTTGATACATTATGAAGAACAACCAATATGTACATTGCAAACATAAAATGTTTGACTCTAAGTCTGAGTTTAAATAAAAAAAAAATAAAAAAAAACTTTTAAAAAAATTAAGAATGTTGTAATACTCTTATTGTTCTTAATTGGTTATCCTGTTTTCAATGTTTATGGAATCTAACACTTGAAAGATAAAAAATAATCAAAATTGTGTGATATTTAGATTTGTCTCAATTTTTTGTTTAGTATTTTGTATTACTCTGTCTTTTTTTTTTTAGGAAAATTTTTTTACACTCTTTTTGTTATGCGTAAGTTGAAAATTTAATTACAATATTGCACTATTATGTCAAAAAAATAAATATATATTGCATAATCAAATGAAAAACGAGGTATAAGTTTCTAATTAACATGTAAACAAGAAAAATAAAGAGCTTATATAAACAAACATGTATGGTTTTAAATTATTACTTTTATGTAAATTTTTTATTAAAATTCAATTAAATATATTGTTAATACGGGGTGTAAGATGTATATTAACAACCCTGAAATGTTTAGTTTTAATTTAAAGAGGTCGGATGGAGTTTAAAGCTTGAATAGTGACGAATATGATATTAGCTTGAAGTTTATGTTCAAATTATAAGATAAATACACCTTAAACAAATTAAGAAAATTGGGGGCGGGTAGTCTCTTTGTTCCTACTTCAATGGTATTTGCCATGCACCTAATTGTTTGTTATTACTTTGTGGGCAGACAAGGATGAATCTGGTTTAACGGGTAAGGATAAGGATGAATACCATACTCACCACATTTTATTGGCAAGGGTGTATGATCGGCCCATGATTATTCTTCGTTATTTAGTAGGTGAACCTATCAGGTTAATTCAATGTAAAAAAAGATGGTCATAAGCTTACAAAAAACAACTAGGTTTTATACATGGTACCATAGCAACTCCTCCCTTGTCAAACGCTCTTTTTATCTTCTCACTTGCTAGATAACCGCATCAAGAGTTACCCCGCCTGAAGGAAAAAAAAAAAAAAAAAAAAAAAAAAAACAAACAAACTTGGGTTCAAGTGTCAAAATGGGCCCAAAAGCAGGTTAATGGCCCATGCCACCGGGGCGACCCTAAATACTTAGATTATAAATAATGAGTACATAATTTTGTTTGCTGGAAAGTAAATGGCAACCGAATTTTAACCTCACTCCCTATTTTTTTTCCCCATACATGTGCTTTATTAAGGATTGAACCAAAAATTGTAAATGAGTTGGGGTATTATGGCTTTTATAGTTTTATGAGTGTGTGTATTGTGCTAGGGGAGGTTAATAGCGAAGACATGTTACCAAATAAGGAAATGAAATAATTTTTAAGAGACATCTAAATATAGAATATGGAGCAAACAAATAGGGATAGAGCGAGTGTTGAATTGGGCGCGCCCCAGTTGATCTTCATGATCAACATATCATGTCAATCTAATGCATACTCAACGAGCAGCTCATCCTTTTGCTTTGTCAGCTGCCGCTTAATCATCACAAACACATGGCCTACATCCTAACTCCGTTTATCCACGCTAATAACGGTGTCCAAGCTAGCTACTTCCTCCATTGAAGCTGAACACCGACACCACCATCTTCATCATGTCCACCGACACCACCACCGAATCAAACAAAAGCCCTAAAAATAAAGGGTGAGATTAAGGGCTTGTTAACCCCAAAGGGTAGGGGTGACTAATTTCAATGTTGTCGTCGCTGAACAGTGAACACCCTCCATCGCAGAAGCTACTACACTTTTGCCATTGTTGAGACTTGAGAAAGAGGAGAAAGGAGTGATTTTGGGATTGAGGCTTTGCTCTTAACGGATATTTTACGCTTGTTGTTAACGCCATCAAACACAATAGTTTAAAGCTGACACTATGAACACATCATTACATGTATAATGACATTATTATCCTTGACTTAATGAATAAAAAGACACCATCACCCCTATAATTGACAAATTATGTTGATCATGAAGATCAACCAAGAATTTCCCGGTTTAGTTACAACATGTAAAAAAAAAAAGGGAAATTTGAATTTTAGTACCTCGAATATGGGGTAATTGAATTTTAGTACCCATCTAAAATTTTATTTTAAATTAGTACCTCCAAAATGACAAAACTATAGGTTTCAGTACCTCCGTCTAGTTCCGTTAAGTTTTCCGTTAGTGGGGCCCATTATCTAATTATTTAATAATTTAATTTATTAAAAAAAAGAAAAAACATTTTATAAAAAAAAACTTAAAAAATAAAATAAAAATAAAAACAGCCACTGACACCAGCGCCGGCTTCCGGCTGTTGGTGGCCGAATTCCCCTGGCACCGGCGCCGGCCACCCCTTCCCTTTCCCTCCCTGTTTTCCCCTTCCCTGGAGCAAAGCCCAGCCACAGCAGCTGCCGCCGCGGCCAGGCAGGAAGCCCAGCCACAGCAGCTGTCGCCACGACCAGGCAGGAAGCCCAGGGGTGCCATAAACCCACCACCCACGAACACCCGAAACCAGAAACTCACCACACCCCACCACCCACGAACCCCCGAAACCCACAACCCCACCACCGATGAACCCAGAAACCCACCACCCCACAACCGACGAACCCAGAAACCCCTAAAACCCACCACCGCACAACCGACGAACCCAGAAACCCCTAAAACCCACAACCGACGAACCCTAAAACCCCAAATTCGAAACCCACCTTATCTGAAATCCACCACATCGCCGCGGCCAGGAACGAGGAAGGGGAAGGGGAAAACAGGGAGGGAAAGGGAAAGGGAGGGGGTGGGGTGCCGCGGCCAGGAACGAGAAAGGGAGGGAAGATGGTGGTGGTTGCGCTAGGGTTTCGGGGAAGGGGTGGCCAGCGCCGGTGTGGCTGATTTTTTTTTTTTAATTATTATTATTTTTTTTTTAATTTTATAAAATGTTTTTTTTTAATAAATTAAATTATTAAATAATTAGATAAAGGGCCCCACTATCGGAAAACTTAACGGAACTAGACGGAGGTACTGAAACCTATAGTTTTGTCATTTTAAAGGTACTAATTTAAAATAAAATTTTAGATGGGTACTAAAATTCAATTACCTCCATATTCGAGGTACTAAAATTCAAATTTTCCAAAAAAAATGAGTACAAGCTAAACACTTCAAAGAAACACAAAACCCTAGTTTTAAAAAGAAAAAAGGAAAAAGAAAAATCGTTCCAAAACAATAAAAAAATAAAAATAAAAAATCGTTCTCTTTCTTCCTTCCTCCAAAGTCCAACCTAAAAAAAACGCCGGAATTCGTCGACCCTTAAACCCTTCTTCACCTTCAAGTCTTAAACCCTTTCATATCTTCTCTATTAGCCTTTTTGTTTTTCTCTTCGATTTTCTCTAAGGTAAGTTCAATTCAAGTTTCTGTTTAGTTTACAATTTCATCATTCCATTAATCTGTGTTAATTGCTCGATTTTTTATTTTTAAAAAAGTGAGATATTTTGGCTTAATCTGGTATCATAGACTAATTGTTGTTTGAACATTGTGAAATTAGTTTTTCAGTTCAATTTTAGATACCCAATTGCATAAAATGCATCCCCATTTCAGTATTCATCGTAATTTGTTTAATAATTATTGGTATATATAATGCTGGAATTTGATGTTAGTTCATTTGGGTATTCCTATAAACAGGTTTTAGTATTTAGTGTAAGTAATTGGTTGTAATGGGAAGCAAGAAGAGAGGTCCTAGTTCTGTAGAGGGGGAAGAAGTTGTTGTAGAAGGTGAAATTTCTAATGAAAAGGCGGGTTTGAGTAAGAAGAATAAGAAGGGGAAGGATAAGAAGTTGCGAGCTGAAGGTGGAGGGAGTGATGGACCTTCGACTCCCGTTCCGAGTTCTACTAAACCTATGGAGAGGAGAAAGAAGAGGAAATTGTTAGATAAGGTGAGACATAGTAGTGCTGTTGAGAGCAAGGAGATAAAGCCTGTTCAACAAACTTCTTTGTCGAAAATTGAGGACCCGGGAACCACAAATGGTCAGCCCGTGTTACATATCGAGGTTTTTACTGAGTTGGCATCAGCTGATGCTTCTAAAAGAGAAGCCGCTGCTGAGAAATTGGCGGTTGAGTTGCAGGAAATCCAGAGGTTTTATGGACAGAGTGGAAGTAATGATGCTGCTCAAGGTAGGCTTCAATTGGAAGCTGCCAAGGATGATGGCCTAGATAACTGTGCACAACCTGTACGATATGCTGTGAGAAGACTTATTCGTGGTGTTTCTTCATCAAGAGAGGTACAACTGATTAATTTTTTATTGTCTCTCTGGCTTTTGAACTTCAGAGGCTGGGAAATTTGCAAATTTTGCTTTACATTGATTAGCTGCCTTGTAGTGCCAGTTATCATGGAAATTGTTCCCTTCCTCGTAGCTGTAGACCTGTAGTTAATGAAAGAAGTGAATTACATAGGAATTGTTTTCGTGTTCTTGATGAATGCTCTTAGGTGGAACCAACTTGCATCTCTTACATATAGTCATCATCTAAAGTGATTTACTATTTTTTTGGTGCAGTGTGCAAGACAAGGATTTGCTTTAGGTTTGACAATTTTAGTCAATACAAATTCTAAGATTAGAGTTGATTCAATACTAAAGCTGATAGTTGATTCATTGGAGGTCACTTCTTCAATGAAAGGCCAGGTAGAAAATGCACTCCTTGATTTTAGTTGCTGCTGAGCTTGGTTCTGATTATTATTCTAACAGATTTACATATATTGTGTTTGTCGCACTCCAGGAGGTAAGGGATTGTCTATTGGGTCGTCTTTTTGCTTATGGTGCCATTGCAAGGTCAGGTAGACTGAAGGAAGAATGGATTTCTGATAGAAATACTCCCTACATCAAAGATTTTACAAGTCACCTTATCGCTCTGGCATCCAAGAAACGGTACCTGCAAGAGCCAGCTGTTTTGGTGCTTCTGAATTTAATGGAGATGGTAATGCGTGGTTAACACATTTGTGACTGTCTTGTTTTGTGCTATATGCTTTATTGCGTTTCTTGCAAGATGCATAACATAGATATCAATTATGTGGTTATGGATTCAGCTATATGCTTGCATAGATGTGTCAACTAGTTTTGAAAATGGGTACATGTTCTGTTGTGAGACTTGGACATTTTAATTTTCTGTATGTTTTTGGTCCAAAATAAATTGTAGAGCGTCCAGAATATGTTGGATTGTAATTTTGTCTACCCAAATTATTTGAGATAAATGAAGAGTTCTAGTATCACAGGCCATCTGACATCAGCAAAATCCCTGTCCTTAGTCAATTCCTACTGCACTGGTACAACCTTGGTGCGTTTTGTGCATTGGTGGGTATGTCATTACTTGGTAGAGTATAAATCATTTGCAAGTTTCAAGATGGTCTGTTGCTTCATTAATTTGTACGAGCGTGATGGTTACCATTTAAGAGATACGTTTGATGTGATGAACTGGAATTTACTATTTAATGAGGTTGGTCATAAGATAATGTATTTAGGGTTTGTATGGTGACTTCTGCAGTTGTGCATTAGGTAAATGGATTTTAGATAGATGTACTTTGATTTTGATTTGTGACTGAGACCTTCTATAGAAGTCAGTAGTTAGTAATTGGTTTCGATATTGATGCTTTTTTTTGAATTGCATGGCTTCCCTTTTACCCATATAGTGTATGAACAGCAATGGAACTGGAAAATCTTTCTACTCCTGAAGTATTTGTTTGTAAAGTCATGGATGTAAGATTAGGATATCTATTTATAATAGTGCTCTTGTCTCTTGCAATTTTAGGGTTTTCATTGACTTCATTCATAGGCATGTGATGTTTTGTTGCTTTTATGGTGCAATGGGGAAAAGAAACTCAATTCTCTAAATTTGTTTTGTAGTTGCCTAAAGAAGCTGTGGTAAATCATATCCTTGTTGCTCCTGAACTTCGTGAGTGGTTTGAAGGAGCCACAAGTGTTGGAAATCCTGACGCCCTGCTTCTAGCAATTAAAATTCAGCAAAAGATTGCCTCTGATAGTACTGTCTTTGGTAACCTTTTACCTCATCCATTCAGCCCAAGCAGGTTTTTCACTGTTGACCATTTGACTTCAGTTGCTAATTGCTTAAAGGTGAATCTTATTGATCTCTTCTCCTTTCTGTGCTATGTTTATTAGAAAGATTTGACATATATCTAATTTTGATTTTCCTCTTACCTAATGTGTCTATTTCCTTAAAAAAAATTACAGGAGTCAACATTTTGCCAGCCACGAGTTCATGGTATTTGGCCACTCCTGCTCAACCTTCTCTTACCAGATACAGTTTTGCAAGATGCTAATTCCTCATCAAGTTTAAGTTCAACTAAAAAGAACAAGAAGAGTCGCAGATCGAGCTCTTCTGATGAAGATATTGTAGAGAGTCTTAGATGCTTCTGTGAGGTGATCCTTGAAGGAGCCCTTCTGACCTCATCACATGATCGAAAACACTTAGCATTTGATGTTTTACTTCTAATGCTTCCAAGGCTACCTGCTTCTCATATCCCTATTGTTCTTTCCCATAAGTTTGTTCAGGGCCTCATGGATATATTGTCTACCAAGGATTCTTGGCTGTACAAAGTTGCAGAACATTTTCTCAAAGAAATGTTAGACTGGGTTGGCTCTGATGACATGAAAAGAGTTTTTGTGGTTGTGGCTCTACAAAAGCATAGTGGTGGGAGGTTTGACTGTATTACGCGAACAAAAACTATTAAAGATTTAATAGCTGGTTTCACAACCGAATCTGGCTGCATGCTTTTCATGCAAAAATTGACCAGCATGTTTGTCAATGAAGATTATACCTCAGATGAATCTTCGGATCAAAGCCAAACTATTGATGACAATTCTGAGATAGGTTTAGTCGAGGATAAGGATTCTAATGACAGGTCTACTAATTCTGATCTTATGAAAAGTTGGATTGTGGAGTCACTCCCAACTTTTCTTAAACATCTGACACTGGACCCTGAAGCTAAATTCCGGGTACAGAAGGAAGTGATGAAGTTTCTAGCTGTGCAAGGTCTGTTTTCCGCATCACTTGGTACAGAAGTGACATCATTTGAATTACAAGAGAAGTTTGAATGGCCAAAAACACCCATCTCAAGTGCTCTTTGCAAGATGTGTATTGATCAGCTTCAGTTGCTGCTTTCTATTGCTCAAAAGGCTGAGGGGACTCATATTTTGACTAATAGCCTTGAGACAAATGACCTTTGCTATTATTTCATGCGTTTTCTGGGTACATTGTGCACCATTCCTTCTGTTTCCCTTGTTCGGCCCTTGAGCAATGAAGATGAGAAGGCATTTAAAAAGCTGCAGTCTTTGGAATCGTCTCTTTCAAGAGAGGTTTGCCTCGTTGCATTTTTATTAATTTAATTTCTATAAACCTAGCCTTTCAGTTGTGTTGTGTGAGAAAAGGAGGGAAGGAGAGCTTGAAATGGGGTAGGGTTAAGTTTAGTTGCTTGTGAGCGATTTTTGTGAATAAAAAGTGAGAGTTTCGAGTCTTTCTCTCAGACACATCAGCTAAACATCTTATTCTTCATTTTCTGTATGTATGCATTGCTAGATTTTTTTTTCCTATGGTTGTCAATGCGTATGTGATGAGCAACGATGGTTGAATATTTATCTATTGATTGCTTCTGATTTCAGGAGAGAAACTTTGGACTTAGTGCAGATGCAAACAAGCTACATGCATTGAGGTACTTGCTCATTCAATTGCTGCTTCAACTTCTCTTGCGGCCTGGTGAATTCACAGAAGCTGCATCTGAACTTATAATATGTTGTCGGAAAGCCTTTTCTGTTCTTGATGCTCCCGAGTCTTCTGGGGAGGATGAGGCCGAAGATGGTGAATCCCCTGAATTGATAGATGTTTTAGTGGACACATTGTTGTCACTGTTGCCACAGTCATCTGCTCCTCTGAGATCCGCTGTTGAGCAGGTAACAGCCATGATTAGAAACTTTTTTAGTAGACATGATTTACTAGTACTTTTATATTGGGGCAAGGTTATATACATCAGGTAAAAGCGGGGCCTATGTTGGGCTGTAATTTATAGACAACACCAAGGTTAAGTCGATGTTTGATCTGCATAAATTTGATTGCAGAGTAAGATTAAATATTTTTCCACCCGACTATTCTCAAAACGTGTTTATTACTGATGGCTAAGCCATCTAGGTTACCAGAACGACAGTATTTAATCTATCTGTTCCATTGTTTTAGGTTAGGGTGTTTGGGGTTGGGTCGTCATTGTCCTGATGAGTAAGCCTCTCTGGTCTGTACCTGGCAATTAGTTTTGTGAAAGAATGAATGAACGTTAAATGACTTAAATGCTTGCCTTAAGCTTAATGTATTTTGATCATTTAATCTGCTAATTTGTTGGATGTCATGGTTAAGAAATTATTGGTTGTTTCAACTTTCAATATATATATATATATATATATTATTCCTTAAGATTTTGTTGGCTGGCCTTTTTGGCAATGTTTAGAAAATATGTGCTTGAATGCATGCTTCTTATGTTGTTTCTTTATGCTCAAGGAAAAATGTGAGCATTTTTACAAGATCCCATCCCCTCCCCTCCCCCTATGTTTTTTCCTGGGATCTAAATGGTTTGACACAATCTTCCTGTGTCTGTTACCTCTTACCATGCATGCCTGTATAGTTTAATTGGATTTATAAGCTGTACTCTCCATTTGTCATGATGGTACCTATATTTTCTTTGCAGGTTTTTAGATACTTTTGTAATGATGTTACTGATGATGGGCTGCTCCGTATGCTGCGGGTGATAAAGAAAGATCTAAAGCCCGCTAGGCGTAAGGATGCAGATGGTGTAGAGGGAAGTGATGACGACGACGATGATCTTCTTGATATAGAAGAAGCAGAAGAATCTGATGAAGCTGATACTGTAGAAACTGGCTTAGTGACTGATAATACTGAGGCTTCAGTTAGAGCTGATGCATCAGATGATGAACTTTCTGGGGCTTCTGATGAAGATGATTATTCAGATGACAACATGGATGATGAGGCTATGTTTCGGATGGATTCCTATCTTGCAAAGATTTTTCAGGAACGGAAAAACCAAGCTGGGGGTGACACTGCTCATGCCCAGCTTGTACTATTTAAACTCCGTGTTCTTTCCCTGCTAGAAATCTATCTTCATGAGAATCCAGGTAACTATTGGGATAATAACCTAGTCCTAGCTTGAAGTCATGACAAATCCTGCCCCCTGTCTCAACTCTCTTTCTCAAACTCAGATTGTTGTTTATAAAACTGATTTGAAGGCTTGTTATGCTTGATTTCTTTCTGGAAACCATGTTTTGTGCAGCACCAACATGCAACATGAAAGTAAAACCCTTTAAAATTTACACCATGCATTTTTGTTTTCTTGTAAAGTTACTTTTCAAATGAACTGAAATTAGTGGTCATTTTTAAAAGAACAAATGGCCATCTATAACATGTCAGTGATATCACCATATAACTAGATTTTAATCATGGTTCGGTTTTTGTTTGGTGTCATATGCTCATTTTGGAGCTGTTTAAACTTTCATCTGCTGTTTTAACTCGTGTTTGTGTTTCTGCTTATTTCAAATAACAGGTTCATCAAGGGTCTTGACTGTATATTCAAATTTGGTGCAAGCATTTGTCAATCCCAGTACAACTGAAGGCAGTGAACAGCTTGCTCAACGTATATGGGGAATTGTGCAGAAAAAAATCTTTAAAGCGAAGGATTATCCCAAGTCAGAAGATGTGCAACTCACTACCTTGGAAGGTCTCCTAGAAAAGAGCCTTCGGTTGGCTTCCAGACCTTTCCGGAAAAAGAAAACTGCTGGTAATGTACCACAGAAGAAGTCATTTTCCTGGAACCGATACAAGATGATCAATTCCCTTGCTCAACAATCGACATATTGGCTCCTAAAGGTTATTGAGGGAAGAAAAATATCCGAGTCCGATCTCAATGCTGTCTTTGAAAGTTTCAAGGAAGCCCTAACCAAATATTTCGAAACCAAGAAGTCCCAACTAAAGCCTGAGTTCTTAAAAGAAGTATTCAAGAGAAGGCCCTGGGTTGCACGGCAACTTTTTGGATTTCTTGTGGAAAAATGTGCGGATGCGAAGTCTGATTACCGTCGAGTAGAAGCACTAGAACTAGTGTTGGAAACCTTGAAGTCAGAAAGTGAAGGGGAGGCGTCAAAGACGTTTTTGAAAGCTCATACATCTAAACTGAGTCACTTGATAAAACAGTTGGCAAGGCATATGCCGGAGAAGCAGTCAAGACGGGCTGATGTAAGGAAGTTTTGCAGTAAGGTCTTCCAGATTATATCGACCCACAACATGACTAAATCATTTCTTAAGACATTAGAGCCCGATGATCATGCTGCTTGCGAGACTCACTTTGGTGAGTCATTTCTTGCTTTGAAGAAATGAGATGCAATATTAAGTCAGTATTTGTAAAATTCTGGGTTTCTGATAATCGTGATACAGAATGAACATGGTACGATTTTCACCATGATCGGGGTTACACTCCGGGAAGTTGGTATGCTGTCCCCGTGATCAGAAGTTTTGGTTGTGTTTACTTCTCGCTTTCTACCAACAGTCTGTAGCATTCCAGACTTCCAGTTTTGTTACTTGAGCATAGAGAATTTTATGGTTACATTCAGAGATCTTTTTCTTTCATAAAAACAAAGATTACTTGATGTTTGTTTCCAATTATAGATAGTTCGTCTTATGGGAAAGTCTAATTAATTAGTACACCCGGAAATACCCAATATTATTCATCTGATCCTAGAATTTTTACCAACATGTTTTCTTTTTTCAAATTATGTTTTTTCTTTTGTTTTTATTTGTTATTCAAGATAAATAAAAATACGGGGTAATGCTAAGTTATGCTTCTTCTACAAAGTAATTTTTTTTTGACGTTATATCATCAAAATCATAACTAAATACACCAACATTTGGCTCATTGATAAGTAAAAAAATTAAGTTAAGTGACGAATTCTAATCAACGAAATAACTAGTAAAAAAAAGATCACGAAAAATTCATGGATAAGTATAATTATTCAGATTTTTTTTTTTGATAAGAATAATTATTCAGATATTTAATCATTAAAACAACAATATTCCAAATTTTAAACATGTCATCTCCACCTAACCTCAAAAAAAAAAAAAAAAAATCTTACATTAAAATAGCAACCAAAATTAATATGGATAATTTTCTCAAAAAATAAAAGGATAAAGTTTCCTTACTCCGTAGTTTTCTTCTCCAACAAAAAAAAAAATAAAAATAAAAAACCCATTTTTTAAATTCCACAAAAAAAAGAAGTATATACCACGCGTCCTTGACTAATACGATACGCGCGTGGGCCAGCAGCAAGACTTCCCTGATGACCTGCTACAACAGTTGGACTTTATCCACGTCATCACTGGGTCCCACTTTTTTAATTGTGATCCCCACTTTACTTTCTCTCTCCTCTCTCCAAACCCTAAATGCAGGGCACATTCAATTCAAATTCACCCGAAAACCCAAAAACCCAAACCACATCATCCAACGACTCACATCCCTCCACGTGTCCTCTCCCTCAGATCTAAGCCGTTTGTGACAGGTGTTACGGTCACAATTACGGGCAGGAGAGAGAAACACGGATAAACCGTTGGATCACGTGTTGAGTAAGATCAACGGTTGATATTCTGCCCAAGTTTTAAACGGGCAGATCTTGGTTGCCTTTAAGAAGCGATGCCTCTTCTCACTGATTCCTCGCTCTCATCAAGGGTAAACCCTAAATCATCATCTTCATCATCAAATTGATCGATCTTTCTCTCTCTACAAAATTTTCTTTTTTGATTTGATTTGATTGATTTTCTCTCTCTAGAAAAATTTACGAAAATCCCACCAAAAACTTACAGAAATCGTCGGGAATTTCCGGTTTGCCGGGAAATTTTGACGGTGATATTCTCTCTCCTCTTTGCCGGTGACCGGTGATCGGAATTGGGCAAATGGTATGGTGGGTGGTAGGGTAGAGAGAGAAGAAGACGCATTGGTGACCGGAAACCGGGAAACGTCGAGATTTTCGCCGGAGATTTGTCGGTTTTCATGGCGTCGACGATGCTAGTTAGCCGAAATGAGACGAGTAATTTTCTCTCACCAAATCATCATCATCAACCACCAAGAACAACGACTAATTTCATGGGAAAAATCCCTTTTCTTAACCCTAACCCTAACCCTAATTCTAATTTTACCCCCAACAACAACCACCATAACCAAAATCACAACAACCACTTTTCCAGGAAGCAATTAAACCATCAAAATGGGGATGAATTCCTGAATCCTCCTGTAAATGACAATACGGCGTCGTTTAATCATCATCGGAAGTCATCTAATGAACCCTCAATCGCCCCTTACGTCAGCTACGACATTACAGGGCTTTCGAAGTCGGAGATTAGATCTTTGAAGAATCGATTGATGTTGGAGCTCGACAAAGTTCGGTCTCTTTCGAATCGTATCGAAACCGGCGATTTTCGCAACGGTTCGAATAACATCAGCAATCCCTCCAAGAAGCGCCCATTTCCTGCCCAGCAGGCGGTGAAGGAGCCGAAGCGAGGGAAACAGCAGCCGCAATCGGCGTATGTGGCAAGCTCCCAAGTGATGAAGATGTGTGCGCAGGTTCTTTCGAAGCTGATGAAGCAGAAAGCTGGGTATATTTTCAATGAACCAGTTGATGTTGTTGGTTTGGGATTACATGATTATCATACCATTGTTAAGCGGCCGATGGATCTTGGAACAATCAAGAAGAATTTGGGGGTAAAGGGGTTTTATCGAACGCCTGATGATTTTGCTGCTGATGTTCGGTTGACATTCAACAATGCACTTACATATAACCCTAAAGGGCATGAAGTTAATACATTGGCGGAGCGATTTCTTGAGAAATTCGAGCTGTATTATCGCCCTGTTTATCACAAGTTTCAGTCTGAGAAGCAGCAGTTTATGAGGCAGCAGAAGGTGGAAGCTCGGCCGAGGGAGGATGCTGTGGTGGTTGTTGATGAAGTACAGGGTAATTCATGGAGTAAAAACCCGTCTCCGGAACCGCCAAGAATCGAGAGTAGTCCTGCGAAGAAGCCTGAGCCGAGGCCGGAACCACGGGTTGTGGAACTCCCACCACGGGTAGAACCACCTCCTCCTCCACCAAGGCCTGAACCGAGGGCGGAACCTCCACAACGGGTTGAACCTCCTCAACCAAGGCCTGAGCCTGTTTCGGCTCCTGTTAATCATGCCCCTGCTCAAGAACCAGCTCATATGTCATTGCAAGAGGTGGTGCGAGCAGGTTCAACGGGAACAGGGAGAGGATCAGGTGGGAAGTTGCCGAAGCCGAAAGCAAAGGATCCCAACAAGAGGGAGATGAATATGGAAGAGAAGCAAAAATTGGGAGCTGGGTTGCAGAGTTTACCAGAGGAGAAGATGTCTCATGTGATTCAGATAATTAGGAAGAGAAATGGGCTTTTGACACAAGATGGGGATGAAATTGAGCTTGATATTGAGGCTGTTGATACTGAAACTCTTTGGGAACTCGATCGTTTTGTCACCAATTACAAGAAGATGGTCAGCAAGATGAGGAGGCAAGCTTTGATGGATATGCAGAACAACAATGTGGGTCATCATCATCATCATAATGATCATGAGCAGGTAATTTTCGATTTCAAAGCTCGAATTTTCGGTATTGTGTTGAATTGTATCAATTCTGCTTGATTGGATTAGTTGTGTTGCTGAGTTGGGTTCTGAAATTGATGTAATATCAGGTTGGTGTGAGTGAGAGGATGACAGAAACGGTGAAGAGAGGTGGAGGTGATAATGGGGGCGATGAAGATGTTGATATTGGGGGGAATGAAGATGAAGAAATGCCGGTTCAACAACTGGAAATTGACAAAGATGACGGCAAAAATCGCGATGTTGGTGGAGGTGGTGGTGGTGGTGATACTAGTAGTAGTAGTAGTTCAAGCAGCTCAGGCAGTGATTCCTCTTCTTCAAGTGGTATATATACTGATTTATAAACAATGCTTTATGTTTTGGTGTATGTTGTTGTTACTACATTGTAGTGGAAATTGGATTGTGTCTTATTATGTGATGTGAATTTGCAGATTCTGATTCAGGGAGTTCCTCGGGCAGTGATTCGGATGTTGATGATGCCCAATCACGTGACAATGAATCCAAGAACATTCCCCATTGATTGATGATTGATCAGTTAAGGGGCAGCTCAAGTTTGCTGGGATGAATGGCATTTTTGAGGGGTTCTTCCTGTGCTCTCTTGTGTAGTGTGTTCGAGTTTCGAGTTCCCTCTTTGGTGAACCGATCAGCATTCGATTTCGAGGAAATATCCTTAAGTTGTTGGTTGTTGCCGGCTAAGAACATGAATGGGATTGCAATGTCCAGTTTGCTTAGTGTAGACTCAGGTTTAAAGGACTCAATGTACAGAGGAAGAGAACTTTTGAATAGGTTGGTGGGTCTCTAATGGGTTGGTTGCAATTGCCAAAGGAGGAAAGAAGATCAAGAAAAGATTTTGATGGGTTTTGCTTTTTGCACAAGAGAAGAATCTATTGAGAAGAAGAGGAAGAAAGAAAAGCTTGACAATTGTGTTGTAAAGATGGGTTAGTAGTGAGTTTCACAAACAAGGAAAGGAAAAAAGGGAAGAAATTTGTAGGGTAGGGCAGGTTTTTTAGGCTAGTAAAGCAAGGTAGAGAGGTCCCCAAAAACATGAAAAAAAATAAATTGATGGAGATGTAGTTAAAATGAAGTTAGGAAGGAAGTTGTTCTTTAATTTTTGTTTGATTTTGAGAGGAGGAAGTTTTTTTTAGGAAGAGAAAGTTGGGATACTTTTGTACACATGACACCACCCTTAAATACAAGAGAAGATTTTATAAAAACTTTATAGTGCCTATCTTCAATTCTATTACTTACTGTACTCTATTTTGCGCAAATAGTAACCGTAAAGAACTTTTTGAAACGGAGGAGTAATCCGACTAAGCGGGAAAAAAAAAAGTTGTGACAATGACTATGTTTTTGAATTTGGAGATTGTTTATATGGACTGACCAAGTGCACATGAAGATATTTGAGTCATTTTGGTGCCTAGCCAAAGTTGTGTGTGTGTTTGTATAGCAATTTTGTATTGCTAGTTTGCTTAGCTGCTGATATGCTGGTCCAGGTTGTGTGTACTTTTTTCCAGGTAGATGCTTTTGCCAAAGTTTTACTCGATGAGTTGTGATACAACATGTAAAGTTAGCCATCACCCTCTACTCCGAGATGCTTTCATACTACGGAGGACTCCATCCGACTAGATATAATTGCGGTATTAGTTCAAATTACATTATTAACTACGCGAGCCTTTCGACATTGAGTTTTGGCTAGTCAGGAAAATCTGAAAGATTTATACGTAGTAGTTGAATTTCAATGTGCTCAAGGGTATATTTCCTTTTGCTGTAGAATAGATGTGACTAATCCATGTGCCTTGGCTGCTTAAAATATGAAATCTCAATAATTAGTTTCTAACTTAGGACAACATAACATTATACAGTACCAAAAGACATCATAGGACCTAGTTGGTCGCTTTTAATCCTTTATTTTTTCTTTAATAAATCACTTAAGGTCAGCAATTTTCTATTGCTATCTGATTGTGACATTTACATATATTCTAATGGAAAGTAAATTTGTTTACTTCTCCTTTGATTTGATTATTACCCTTACACTTTTAACTATTGTTACATCAGCTATTGTGATTTATTAGTTTTTAAAGTGTGTTTCTTACCGCTAAAACTTAAAGAATACTCCGTATATATAAGAAACTTAAATACTTGTAAATATATACCTAAAGCTAATAAGGTTAATTTCTTTTTGGTGTTTAGAGAGCCACACACGCAGGGGCAAGAATCGATCTAACCACTTAAGCTATCCCTCAATTAGCAAATACGGTTAATAAGGTAAGATAAAATTTCTATACATATATTATGGTAGATTAATTGGTATGTGTTGACACTTGGCAGTATACATGTAGGTTTAGTTGGCAATAAAATATCATTTTCACTTTCATAAGTTCATGTGATTACTGAGTAGTGATAATCATCCATTTAACAGTACACTATTGCAAAACGAAGTCTTTCATTTTACGCAGTCTTGGTATTCATCTAGAAAATTAAATACATCCTCGTATTAAAGCCAGTCGCTATCTGTATTTTAGGTCTGTGTAACTGTATTATAATGTTGCTTTCCACTAAACAAAAATAGTACTCGTACGGAGAAAAAAAAAATAGATCCAAGTGTTTTATCCAAAAATAAATAATCAAATAAAAATAAGTACTAGTTCAATATACCAAGTCATACAAGTATGAAATAATACTTATAAGTTACAACATACTGCCCGAAAAGATATAAAGTACTCTACAATAAATTATTCGTAACAATTTACTCATAAACTTAAGTAGAAATCAAAATTGATAAGTACAATATATTATAAAGGCAAATGCTAACGAACGCGCCCGGAAGTGTTGGATAAACTAGTTAAAAGTAAAAAAATTAAATTAAAACTAACATTAATCACACCGATCTACTCGTGATTTTGTCATGCTTTCCCAAATTAATACCACTTTAGGTAAGATTTTAAATGCTTATCCAACACCCCGAGAGCGTTCGTTAGCAAGATCCTATTATAAAATCAAAATTTCATAATCTCGTTTTTATTTATTTTTTATTCCGTATTATATTTTCAACGAAGATCAGGTTTTTTAACAAATAACAGAAGTACTCTGTGATATTTGATATATTAGATTGAATTGGCGCAAAAAAAAAAAAAAATACATTGATAGGTGATGAATGAGCTTTTACGTTTGAGTGTATTGCATGACACGATGTGAAGCAATTTTCACACAAGGATTAATAAACTAATGTTGGTTGTCACGTCGCAAATTATTATAGTTTTGTGTGGTCAACTCGTCAATAATACGTGCATGCTTAAATGCTTAATGCCTAGTGATACAATAATCTTGACTACCCCGTTGAGTATTGATTGTGACTATCAAAGAATATAGAAGATCAATACAACTAATCAAGTCATACACTTTTACACCTATGGTAATTGGTAAGTCTTTATGAGATTTTAATTTGTTGGCATTTTTGTTAAATATTAGGAACATGAATTGAGCAACTTATGGGGCATGGACGCATGGTACGAGAGTTGTTCATGGTAGGTTCAAATCGGATTAGTTAATTTGGGAGTATATTGATATGGGTCATTAATTTTAGTCCAGTTCGATTCGATTCAATACAGGTTGATTTAGAATTATTCTTGTAGGTCAAATGATTTGGAACGAAGCCATAGAACAATAGGGAAATAGTACAATGTTGTTATGTTTGCGTCATGGAAAGGCCCATGGGCCTGTGTAGGATTAGTAATTCATAGATATTAAGGCCCAATAATAAAGCCTTGAATTTGTGGGCCTTCTGGCCCAAAAGGAAAAAGCTCTTGTCAGGGCTGAAAATTCTATTGAGTCCAATTCTATAGAGAATATTAAACCTTTTATTGGGCTAATAGAAAACGAAGCTACGCTTCAATACTGGAACTTACAACAACATGAAGAGTCTCCATGTTTGGGAATCAATTAAATTTGACAAAGATCCAATGAATAAAACAACTATGAAGCATAACACATACTCTGTTTAATAAATCTAAGCATCAATAATGTACATTAAATATTACTAAACAAGTTTGTGCAAACATTAAATCATTCCAAATTATCCATAAAATCATAGATGAGTAACATAAATCAAGCTTAGAGTAAGTTCTAAGAAATCATCTACTAATCATCGATTAATCTTAATCAACACAAATAATTGTTGGATCACAGCAACATTCATCCACCAGGCAACAACAACATAGAGCTGCAAGGCTGCAAAATCAAAGATTAAACCATCAATTAATATTACCATTAACTAAAAATAATTATTACCTCCGTTAAATATTATGTGCAAGGTATTTGTGAGATATAAAATATTTCAAAGTTGCACATAACATTTAACAGAGATAGTATAACATAAGATTCATGACTTTTATACGGAGTACTTGATTGAAATTAATTAAACTTACCATCCTTCAAGAAAACCTCGTTCTTTTCGAGGCGGCGGTGGTGGTGGAGCTGCGTATTGATATTGAGGAGGTGCCATTACCGGAGGACCTTGGTAGTAACCTATTTTAATTTTGTAAACAAAAAAACAAAAAAAAAAACCATCAATTAATGTTACCTTATTTTAATTATGCATGATGAACCTATGTCATACGTACTGTGATTTTTTAAATTATTATTCCTAATTTTTACATTTCCAAACAAATTTCTTTATTTTGCGTATGTAGTACAAACCAACTAGTAAGGAACTAAGGACTCATCACTAATATAGGAAATTGTTTTCCTATACTTTCTCCGTCCAAAACTAATTATCATATATAGATAGTTTGATTACACGTGGATAATATGAAAACTAAAATTTGGACCGAGGCCTAATTGTAACAAAAGTGATTATAATCATCAACCAAATTAATTATAATCGTAGCAAAAGAAATTTAATTGAAAAAATGGAATAAAATCAAGCTGATTACCTTGAGAAGGATAAGGATAAGCATACTTGGGATCATTCATATTTGTTGTTGAAGGTTAAAAACACCAAAATAGTAGAGTATATGATTTGTGATTTATGAAGTTATAAAAATTAATGAAGGTATAAAATTTTGGAAAAAAAAAAAGTAGGAAAGTGTTTGAAGAGTTAAGGCTTTATATAGAAGTTTGGAAAAGTTGGAAGATGATAACGCGGTGTACACGGCAACATACGTTGGAAGGCTGCTCCTTCATTGCCAAGAACATTAGAGTGGTTACCTAGAAGGCCCTTTATTTGCGGTGATGATCAAATATTCCCTTAGCCTTTAAGAAAAGTATAATTGCCTATGTCAAAAAAAAAAAAAAAAAGCTATACTCCGTAATATTTATGTTCCGAGCATTCTCTAATACTTTACATAACTAAGTTAGTTAATATCTAAAAAGTATTTTATATTATCCTATGTGAGAATATATTAATATAAATAATAGGCTAGTTCTCTTATGTGATTTAACGCTTTGTTAATTATTTTCGTTTGTTTTTGGATTTGCTTGTTACTCGTTGCTTATAGTATGAGTCGTTAGCCTTTTCTAAATTACGATTGTAATTGTTTAGAGATAAGGACTGCTGAGAAAAGAACACAGGAAGAAAATCAAGAAGAAATTTGCAACCACAAGGCACGTGAAGGTGCTAGAAATTGAGCGTTACATTAAATTGAATTTATGAAATTAAAAGCATACTTTTTCAAACTTAATAATTGTTCATACATAAAGTTTGTTGAAAATCATAGCATCCTATCACTATTAATTTGAGAAAAGGACTAGATTCTTCTGGAATATATTCTTTGCACATACTTGCTGTCATCTAATGACTAAAGCTCAAGGGAATAAAGACTTTTTTGTTTAATTTTTTTTATTTTATTTACATATATTTATTTATGAGTGCATATGATTCTGCCTTGTTAATCCTCTACCTTTTAAGATAGTTTGATGCTATTTTATAATGTTTTGTATGTGAATTAGCTACATAATTAAAGTAAGTTTGGGTCAAGTACATGTAGCATCACAAGATTGTGGAGATATTAGAAAGTTAGCAAATCACGTTTAAAATTAAAAGGGATTATTTTGACGCACACAAAATTAAATTCTTTTACTTATTAAGCCAAATGTTATGTAAAAATGACATGTATATATATATATATATATAATGTCAAACAAGAAATAACAAAAATTACTAGACATCCATAACAATAAAAATAGACTTTGTTTTTTTTAGAAACTATTATAATTTGTTAGATAAATAGCAATTAGACAATTCAAATTCAATTCTTTTATCCTCATGATGTGAAAGGTTATAACTTGTTTATCGGTAGGGTTTTATAACTTTCTTAAAATAATAACAAAAGATTGATAGCAAAATCACAAAATCATAAAATTATAACTTGTATTTGTATAAAGCAAAAATTTTAACCATAAAATATCACGTATGTACGAAATTTAACTTTACATTGAGGTGTCAAACTTGTAATCGAATGGCACATAAAAAATTTAATCAAGCCACACTACAACCCTTATTATCAAAAAATGTTGTTCCATGAAATGAGTTAGGGTTAATATTAGACTCAATTTTCCTGAAATGAGCTTCTTCTACATATGCTGAAACTCTGAGAGGAGAGAGAAACAGAACAAATGTCTCAACTCTCAAATGAGCTTCTTCAATTGCGCCATTTATGTACTAAACTCAAAATCAAAGCTCTAATTGTAAGTCTCCATTCGTTTCTAACTACTGATTTATGTAACAAATTACATTTAGAATTATGAATTTAACTTTGTGTATTTGAATTCAGCGATTATTAGCTATACTTTCTTGCTTTTAAATTTCATGCTAAAACTGGAAGTTCAATTCTTTATTCCAAATTCTAATTTATTCATCTATGATCTGAATTGTTGGGTTTAGTCAGATACAAGTTTTATAATCATTAGTGGAAAAATTATGTTAAAACTCGCTTCTATCCGGATTTCATAGTCGCATTGTTAGTGTAATTTGAACTAGTGACGTAATTATGTGAGCATGAGTGTGACCGTGACCAGATGGAGGTTGTTTACATTTGTGTCCTAGTTGTGAATATTGGTGATTTGCAAAATCCAATTGGTATTCTTTTGCTCACTTGATCAATTTTTGCTTATTTGAAGTTCTCAAATGTGCACAAAATCACCTGTGGGTAAGTGGGTTTGCCTAGCTCTAGAAGTCCTTGGGTACACAATGGAGGTTCTCGTGGTAATTCTAGTATTCCAATCATTTATAAACAAGTTAATACTCCAATTGTGAAAGTATACTGCCAATTAAAGGGCGGGGTGGGGTGTGGGACTAGTGCCGTTGAATTGCAGGATTTTCTGTGGGAAGATTTTTATGGGAGGGGAGGAGTGGGGTGAGTTGGTTGATGATGATTGACGATCACTTACGTAGCAATTGCTTTGGTAGTGAATGACCATCTAGTGTTATCTTTATTAATGGCAATGGGTGTTATCTGCAATGTGGCTCTCTTCAATCTACGGTTGTCTGTTTTCGTGAACAATGTATCTCATATATAGTGCATTAGTTGAATTCTTCCATGGTGCCCTTTTCAATTCAACAATGACCACTTCCTTTTCAACAAATCAAAGTTGTTTAGATTTGAATGACCTTTCTGTCAGAATTTTGTTCATATATGTATGTATTAGGGGTTCCTCACATTGTATTTATCATGCTTTGTAGGTGTTGCCGCTAGAGTGATCTGATCATTACAGATACATTATAACTGCATTCTGATCGACGATGGGAGACAATCAAGTTAGCTCACACGAAGCCAACGGCTTGGGTGGTTAGAAATGTGATCTGCCTAAGGACTCTGATGACAATGATGCTGATGTGGTTAGTCTAGTTATTGATTATTTCCAACTTTTGCATGAAGTGAGGCACATTGTGATGCTTTACGACGCAGCTCAACACCTACAAGGGAATTTTTTGAAGAACCTACTCACTGCATCGCACTAACCTAGTTATTGCACCCTTGTAGCTCAACACCTACAAGGGTGCAATAACTAGGTTAGTGCGATGCAGTGAGTTGATTCAGCCGCACTTTATGTGTTTTCCCTTCACCTTATAGCTCTATTCTACATGAATTTCTTGCCTTTTTTTTTTGCTCCCTAGATTTAGTTGAAATGGATGTTGACTTTTGTCTTCCATAGTTGATGATAAAATATGATGCACCTAATTTGATTGATTTTTTTATGCATTAACCAAAATTTTAATAATTAATAGTCAGTTGGAGACATTTGGCTAAATAGTGAAGTTGTGTGATAAATTGAAGTGGAAAGATGGATTTGGGAGATGGGATTTGGGGGTTTGATATGATAAGCAGCTCCCCAGGGATCTGTAGTTGTGGATCAGGTTAGATCCTCTTTAACTGACTGCTCATAAATCCTAGCGGGAAGGATTTCCACATTATGTAGTGCAGGTAGAGCTGTCAATTCGGGTAAACGGGTCGGGATTGGGTCAGGTAAGAGTGGGTCGGGTCAATTCAGATTAATTCTATAACGGATTAGGGTAATTCTCAGGTTCGGTTCAAGTCAATAATTTGCGAATTAGAATCAAGCCGGGTCATTCTCGGGTTTGAGTCGGGTTCGGTTCAAGTCAATAATTTGCGGATTATAATAAGGTTGGGTCATTTTCAAGTCGGGTTCAGTTCAATTCAATAATTTGCGGGTTATAATTAGGTTGGGTCATTTTCAAGTCGGGTCATTCTCGGATTCAAGTCAGGTTATGTTCAAGTCCATAATTTGCTGGTTACAATCAGGTCGGGTCATTTTTAAGTCAGGTTATATTCGGGTTCAACTAACTATAAATAGATGATTATCATTTTTATCAAGCTAATTATATCTTCTGAATATAATATATGCTTCCTCCTTTTTTTATTATTGCACCATAGGGGTTGGGCACAAATTTTTTGGTAGTGGAAAAAAGTAAGAGAGAGAAAAATTGCCCATGTGACATATTGATAAACTAAAAAGTAATTGTAAAAAAGCAAGGGTATGTTGGGCATTTGTAGTGTGAACACATAATTTTTTCCTAAAGAGGAAATGGTGCAATATTTGTGAAAATTCCTAAAAAGGCAAGTGGTGCAATAATAAAAGAACGGAGGAAGTATGACAGTGTACTAGGGAACTATAGTCTATAATTTAGGAATATAATTATCTCCTTTGACCATACAACAAATATATACTATATTTAACTCTTAAATTTGAGGTTGATGCTCCTTTCTTTTGCTGGCCTGGATCGACTTGGTCTCCCAAGACAAAATGCTTTGATCAACAATAATAAGGTGGACTAAATTGCATTTAAGGTGATTTGAAATCGGGTCAAGAACAATTTGGGTTGAATTTAGGGCGGGTCAATAACAAGTCGTATTAATTTCGAGTCGGGTTAGTAACAGATCGGGTTATTGGGTTGGGTAAGTAATAAGTATGGTAAAATTCGAGTCGGGTCAATAACAGGTCGGGTTGATTTCGGGTCGGGTTTGTAACATGTTGGGTTAAATCGGGTCAGGATGAATTCAGGTCAGGTTAGTAACAAGTCGGGTTAAATTCAGGTTTTGACGGTTTAAAACGGGTTTGGGTCAATTTCGGTTAAAGTCGAGTTGGGTGCAAGTTATTTAAATTTGCTGTTGTAAATCGATAATTCGGTGCAATTTGTGAACCGGTAAATTGGCCGTTTAAAAGCAAATTGAATGGTTCCACACACCTAATTGGACTCCCAAAGGGTATTAGGGACCATGGTAAATATTTCGGTAATTTTGATTTCCAGGCGAAAAAAGTCAAAAAATTCTAAAATTGAAGTCTAATATCCACGCTTTTTGAGAAATTTTGAAGGTTTCGGGGCCTAGTGTCGAAAAGTCTTGAAATTCTATGGAATACATCTCGGGGTCATACAATGCCAATTGGAACCATATATGATCATTATATGTTGGCATAAATGTTCGTGGTAGGCTTGAATTAATGAAATCGGTGCAAGTTGTAAACCGGTAAATTGGTCGTTTAAAAGCAAATTGGATGGTTCCACCCACCCAATTAGACTCCCGGAGGGTATTCGGGAACATGGTAAAGATTTCGGCAATTTTTATTTACGGACAAAAAAAAAAAAATCAAAATTGAAGGCTAACTTCCACGTTTTTTTAGAAATTTTGGAAGTTTCGGGGCCCGGTGTAGAAAACTAGAAAAATATTAATATTTTAGGGGATACATATCGGGGTCATATAATGCCGTTAGGAACCATATATGATCATTATATATTGTCATAAATGTTCGTAGTAGGCTTTAATGTAATCCGTGCAAGTTGTAAACCGGTAATTAAATTGGTCATTTAAAGGCAAATTGGATGATTCCACCTACCCAATTGGACTTCCGTAGGGTATTAGGGACCATGGTAAACATTTCGGCAATTTTTTTTCCGCGCTAAAAAGGTCAAAAAATTCCAAAATTGAATACTAATATCCACGTTTTTTGAGAAATAATAAAGGTTTCGGAGCCTGGTGTCAAAAAAGTCATGAAATTTTAGGGGATACATCTCGGGGGTCATATAATGTTGTTTGGAACCAAATATGATCATTATTTGTTGTCATAAATGTTCGTGGCAGGCTTGAGTTAATGAAATCAAGGCATGTTGTAAACCGTTAAATTAGTTGTTAAAAGGCAAATTGGATAGTTCCACCCACTCAATTGGACGCTCGGAGAGTATTAGGGACCACGGTAAACATTTCAGAATTTTTTTTATTCCCGGGTGAAAATAAGTTAAAAAATTCCAAAATTGAAGACTAATATCCATGTTTTTTGAGTAATTTTGGAGGTTTCGGAGCTCGGTGTTGAAAAGCCTTAAGAATTAGGGGATACATCTCGGGGTCATATAATGCCGTTTGGAACCGTATATGATCATTATATGTTGTCATAAATGTTCGTGGTATGCTTGAGTTAATGAAATTAGTGTAAGTTGTAAAATAGTAAATTGGCCATTTAAAGGCAAATTGGATGGTTCCACCTTCCCAGTTGGACTCTCGTAGGGTATTAGGGATCATGGTAAACATTTCGGCAATATTTGTTTCAGGGAGAAAAAAAGTAAAAAAATTCTAAAATTGAAGGTCTATGCTTTTTTAGAAATGTTGGAGGTTACGGAACCCGGTATCGAAAAAGCTTGAGATTTAATGAGATACATCTCAGGGTCGTATAATGCCGTTTGGAACCATATATGATCATTATTTGTTGTCATAAATGTTCGTGGTAGGCTTGAGTTAATGAAATCGGTGCAAGTTATAAACTGGTAAATAGGCCATTTTAAGGCAAATTGGATGGTTCCACCCACCCAATTGGACTCCCGAAGTGTATTAGGGGCCATGGTAAACATTTCGGCAATTATTATTTCCGGGCGAAAAAATGTCAAAATTCCAAAATTAAAGGCTAATATCCATGCTTTTCGAGAAATTTTAGAGGTTTCGGGGCCCGGTATCGAAAAGCTTTGAGATTCTAGTGAATACATTTCGAGGTCATATAATGTCGTTTAGATCCATATATGATCACTATTTGTTGTTATAAATGTTCGTGGTAACCTTTGAGTTAATAAAATTGGTGCAAGTTGTAAACCGTTAAATTGGCCTTTTAAAGGCAAATTGGATGGTTCCACCCACCCAATTGGACTACCATAGGGTACTAAGGACCATAGTAAACATTTCGGCAATCTTTATTTACTGGCCAAAAAAAGTCAAAAATTTCAAAAATTGAAGGCTAATGTTTACGCTTTTTGAGAAATTTTAGAGGTTTCGGGGCCCGATGTCGCAAAGTCTTGAGAATTTAGAGAATACATTTGGGGATCATATAATGCCGTTTGGAACATATATGACCATTATATTTTGTCATAAATGTTAGTGGTAGGCTTGAGTTAAAAAAATCGGTGCAAGTTGTAAACCGGTATATTAGCTGTTTAAAAGCAAATTGGATGGTTCCACCAACTCAATTAAACAACCGGAAGGAATTTGGGACCATGGTAAACATTTCAGCAATTTTTTATTTTCGAGCGAAATAAAGTCAAAAACTCCTAAAATTGAAGGCTAAGATCCATGCTTTTTGAAAAATTTTAAAAGTTTTGAGACCCGAAAAGTCTTGAAATTTCAGGGGATACATCCCGGGGTCATATAATGCCGTTTGGAACCGTATATGATCATCATATGTTGTTATAAATGTTCGTCGTAGACTTAATTTAATGAAATCGGTGTAAGTTGTAAACCGATAAATTGGCCGTTTAAAGGCAAATTGGATGGTTCCGCCCACCCAATTGCACTCTCGTAGGATATTAGGGACCCTGGTAAACATTTCGGCAATATTTATTTCCAGGCCAAAAAATGTCAAAAAATTCCAAAATTGAAGGCTAATATCTTCGCTTTTTGAGAAATTTTGGAGGTTATGGGGCCAGGTGTCGAAAAGGTTTGAGATTTTAGGAGATACATCTCGGGGTCATATAATGTCGTTTCGACCATATATGATTATTATATGTTGTCATAAATGTTCGTGATAGGCTTAAATCAATGAAATCGCAGGAAGTTGTAAATCGGTGAATTTACCGTTTAAAGGCAAATTGGATGGTTCCACCAACCCAATTAGACTCCCGTAGGGTATTAGAGACTATGGTAAACATTTCGGCAATTATTTTTTCCGGGCGAAAAAAGTCGAAAAATTCCAAAATTGAAGACTAATATCCACGCTTTTTGAGAAATTTTGAAGGTTTCAAAGCTCTGTGTCGAAAAGTCTTGAAATTTAGGGATACATCTCAGGGTCATATAATGGTGTTTGAAACCATATACGATCATTATTTTTTGTAATAAATGTTCG